TCCAAATCAGGAAGAAATAATCTAATTGTTTGATTTAAACGTCAGATAACTGGACAGGCAGAGGGCGGGAAAAGGCATTTAACTAATTACTAATAACTAATATTAACTAAATTAGTCTTCTGGATCTTTCATTGTTTTTCCTACAGTAGATTTTAATCCTCTGCCTTTAAACTAAACTTGGGTTGTGTGTTTGTTGTACTAATTGTACAAATAGAAAGTTTAAGTTTAATGTAATTCTCTTCTTTCTTTTCTGCTTGACGAGTTATTTCAGATCCATTTTTGCATTTAACCTCTTTCATGAACGTGGATCCCTGCTGCTGCTAAACGTTGCTTTATGTTCCCGATAAAGTTTGTATTTACACTTAACAAAGATATTTTTTTATAATACGACCTAAGATAATCTAAGATAAAACCAAGAGGAGAGGACCGTGAGTTACACAGTTTTGTTGCTGTAAAGTTTACTAAACTTTACTAAAATTAAGACACGTTAGCCTGTCTGCACTAGACAGAAATCAATTAGCATTTTATTTTATCTTTCAATTACTTTTTGAATTGATTGCTGTTAACTGTAGCAAAACACTAATTGTTTTAAAACAAGGACAATCTTTTAGTTAGCAGCATTGTTTGACGTGATTAGTATTGAAGTATGTAGCATATTGTTCAATAGGATATTATCTGTGACAGACGAGATGATACAGTAGAATATAACACACTTAATATTAATAGTCTCTCTGTGTGTCCAGTATGAAGTGTTTAGCCTAGCTTAGCACAATAACTGGAAGTGGGGGGAAACTGCTAGCCTAGCCTAGCTCATGAGATATTAATCTTTGTCTGGGTTAGATGTTAAACAAGGATTTTTAAAAATCTGCTCTGTGAAGGAAATTTAATTTGTGTTATAGGCTAATGTAAGAAAAGTAAAAGAACATAATACAGTAAAGACTAGTTTAAGTTTTAAATAAAGAAGTTTGATTCTGTCTTCAAAGCTGTCACAAATTTCACAGTTAATAAACATCACTTGTTCAGTGCTTTTTACATTGTGGGATAAATCAGACAACACAACTACAAAATGACACTAATTACTGAATTCCACAGTGAATTAAAGTCACATTTTACTGTTTAAAATCAGCAGTTTAAGGTGTTTTTATTAAAGGTTTTAATGTGATGATGTCTTGATAATTCCCATTTATGGTTGCATGAACTGGCATGACATTTGTTTTTGCATCCAAAGAGATTTTTCCACTGTTTTAAGAGCTGATAGGTTGGAATTAAAGTTACTTCTGATTGAACTCTCGGTTGTCTGACATGTTTATTGACACAGGGTTTTAATCATCGGCAGGTTGCAACTTTTAATATTTCTGACTCAAGTTTAATCTGTAAATATATCTTCACTAATTCATGTTAAATGTTCATCATTGATATATTGTGTATTTTCACTTCAAAGTGAGTTGGTTTTGCTAATATATCTTTTAATATTAACTTTATAATTTTTAACAGTTCAGCTGCTTTGTCTTAAATTTTGACATATTTAACAATATTTGATTTCCTGCATGTTAAATGCAATAAAAACACAAATACCCCTTTTAGTGAACTTCAGAGCTGTTATAAACCCCATATTTAGCATCAACACGCAACAATAAAGAATATCCTATAATCTATAACAGTGGTTCCCAACCTGGGGGTCAGGACCCCAAACTGGGTCGCCAAAACTTCACAGGGGGGTCGTGAGACCTTCTTGATTTTAAGGGTTGATAGAAAATCATAAGAAAATATACATAGTAGGTCGATATCTCAGCATTTCATTCATTTCTGTGAAGAAAACTAAATTATTTTTCCCATTTAGATAGTTTAGATAGTATCAGCTGGAGTAAAATGTTTCACAGAGCTCTTATTTAAAGTTAAAATTGGGAATTAGTATTATAACGAGGATCACAAACCTTCATTGATTCGTGACGGTGTATGTGTGTGTGTGTGAGTGTGTGTGTGTGCTGACCTACTCCCAGCAGGAATGTTAAGTATTGCTGTGGTTTCTCGGCCAGCGTTCCCGGGCAGTTACATCACCCAGCGGACTGTCTGACAGCCGCTTCCTGAACCATGAAAGAAAAACCAGAAAAGGATATTTTTAGTCCAAACTGAGACGAATGTGTTTGGTTTACAGGGTTTTATGTCCTTTAACAGCACCCAGTTTGATCAGGGGGCGTTCACAAACACTAATTCTGCACTTCCTCTGATTCTACCCACAGATGATGTTCAGTCCTGATATTGTTGGTTACAATTAGCGATATATTTAAAAATTTTATCCTTTGTCCGTCCAGTTTATAATAAAGTAAAAGTCACATCCTGATGGACGAACTTTACTGAATGATTTAGGAAACTTCAGGTGTTTTGTTTTCTTATTGAACTTAATGTGAGTGAATGAATCATCACTTCACCGTTCCTTTTCAGACACAAAGGAGAAACTATGATGGCCAAGAAATGCACAAAAATGCAAAATACCCTACAGCCAGTGTTTGGTTTGTGCATTCTGGGCTACCGTAGAAACATTGTGGTTCAACATGGTGGTGACCAGCGATGTCTGTACATATAAAAAGCTTATTTTATAATAACAAAAACATGACTATTCTTATATTCAGGTGATTATACACTAATGAAACATACCTACAAATATTATATTCTATTTCTGACAATAGATCCTCCTAAATGTTTCACACTGGAGCTTTAAGAAATGAACAAACAAATGCTCAATAGGTACATTAATATAACCATTATCATTTTATATAAACTTATCAAAGAAAGAGTTAATCATGAGAGAAGTTAAAGCCCCTCAAAACAAGGTTTAAAATCCAAGTATTTATGAATAAAAAAGCAACAATAATTATTTAAACCTGTAATAACAGTTTTTTTGGGGCACTTGGTGGCAGTTGAACACAACATTGACATAACAGCTTTTAATTTAATAGGCTAAACAGTTTACTTATTTACACCCCAACCAGTTACAGAACAACAGTATTAGTCATTTGATCTGTTTCTTTTAGGTCTGTGTTTGGTTTCAACCTCCTCGTGAGGAAAATATCTGTCTCTAGCTGCTAAATGCTCGACTATGTTCACCAGCTAGTCTCCAACAGTGTCCGTCTGCTGTTTGGTGCTGAGCATGTAAAGTGTGTTTTTAGAGCTTTTTAACAGCCTGTTGTGGTCATAAATGGCACTATGAGAATGTGAGAATGAACCAAAATAGGCCTAAAATTAGTGGACCGGACAAATAAACAATGAGCTGAAACTATAACACATTGTTCTTATATTGTCATTTGATACATTGTTATTATAAAAAATATTGATTATAGCTGCTTTAAAGTTCAAATAAAGAAAAACATCTTTACTTATTATTTATTAAGTCTGATAATCTGCTTCATAAACACAGGTTTGATAAAGTTTGACTGACTCATCGGTCCACCTCTCTTGGTTCAAACCAGAGAAAACAACAGTCAAAACAATAAATACAGAAACCTCTGATGTGAAATAATCTTTATCTTTGGGAGAAAGTCTTGTGTCTGTGATTGTTCACAGTAAAAAGCTGGTTGAGGAAAAGTGTTTAATTATGTTGTTGTTGTTTGTTTTATTCGTCTGTTTGTAGTTGAGACATACAGATGTTGCTGCCTGAACATCTGGAGCATCAGCACTGTAAATGTGAAGCTGTGTGGGTACAAAATACAGACTTCAGATGGTGGCGCCCTCATGTGGAGGAGCTACACAAACACACCAAACTGCCTTCTGTGCTTTATAGTTTCTGTCTGGACCTCCTCTCTCTCCGGCTCCTTCAGTCATTTACACATTTTCATACTCTGTTACCTCACTGTTGTCTTATATATAGTATTTTATCCTAGATTTTTATTTTATGTTTTCATATTTTTTTTATATTTTATATTGTATTTTTGGATATATTCTGCATATTGTGTATTCTATAGATATTTATAGTTATTTGTTGTGATTATTTTAATATATATTTCTGTCCACTTGCTGCTGTAACAAAATAATTTCCCCACTAAAAAGTGTTAAAGTATAAAGTACATCTAAAACATATTTTTATAGGAAAGTCTTTTGTGATATCTGACTTGTAATTCTCTGTGTTGCTGCTGTGTTGTTTTATTTATCTTTGAATCTCATATTTTAACTGTGTTTTGTTTGGTTACTTACATTTTATCTTTGTTGTTTTTATCAAAAAAAATTTTTGTCAAGCACTTTAAAACCTTGTTTAGATAAGTGCTATACAAATAAAGTTATTATCTATCATATCTGTCTATCTATTTATGATTCACACACTTCACACACACAGTTGATCATAGCTCCGACAGTCCCTGAACGCAGCGCGGCCCTGTCACTGTACTTTCCCTTTAAGTGCAGATGAAAGGTAGTTGTGTAATTTGGGTGAAAGAGGAGAAGGAGGAGCTGACTGAATGGAGGACAGCTTTATTTGACAGATCGAAGAGGACTCACACAGGTACGATGCTCCTGCTGATCCAGCTGATCAGAAACATTATCGATTATTAACATTATAATGAACATTAATGTGTCTTCACTTCAGCTGATACCCCGTCAGAGGCTTTATATCCTGACTGCAGTGTCCGGGTTGTGTGATCATGTTTGACATTATGTTCTCCAAACACGTTAAAATGACTCTTTACCAGGATACAAGTCTCTGTGTGTGTGTGTGTGTGTGTGTGTGTGTGAGGTGTTTTTATCTGCCGGTTGTTGAACCTTAAATATAAACATTTATTTTTAAACTATCAGGAAAGGGAAGTTGCGTCTTCGGCTCACTTTGACACACCTCCTCCTGGTTGCTATTGGCGACTCATTTTATGGGTTTTACACCTTTTATGTAACATAACTTTACTGCAGTGTCTCTTTTTTTAATTATTTTATTCCCAAACGGTCGCAACTCACTAACTTCACTTACTCTCAGTGGATGCAGTTTGACACCTGTGTTAATGTTCAGTCTGGATCTTACTGCAGTTCTTCTTCTTACTGCACTTTGGTCAAATATTCTCACCTCAACATCCAGCTTTTTGGAGTGTGAGTATAAATATAGTCTTTATATATATATATATATTTACATTAATATTGATAGTTTATATTAATATTATAGCTATTGTACACAAACTGACCACCCAAATATTTTGTGTGCATATTACAAGCAAGTCGTAATTTTGCTTTGTTTTATTAGTTCAAAGGCTTCCTGTAGTATTTATAAAAATAATAATATAATATATAATATGAATATTTAAAGCAGGCTGCTGTTTTTGTGAAATG